TTTTATTTATTTTAGTATTATAAATTATAAATAAAATTGAATATTTTGTTAAAAAAAAATAAAAATTTGGTGAACTCTAGTTGATCCTCCAGGTTTTTTATGATTTTTACTAGTCCAATCGGCTTTTGATTGAAACGGTTTTGACCGATTTAATTGAATTTTTGGATTAATTATTGAACCAAATAAGAACACAATCAATTTACGATTCTACGGGTCAAACCAATTGGTCTGGTTTTCAAAACACTAATGATGAGTCAATAATGCTCTCTAATAAATCCGTTAAATGGAACTTTGTGACATGACTATATATATGTATGCATGTGTGTATGTGTGTGTATATATATATATGTATATACATGTGCGCACATACATACGTACTACGTGCCAAAACTAATTTTAATTATCCTATTTTTAGCTTTTGATGGAAGGAACCTGGCACTTATGTGCAATGGCAATTGGGGAAAAAGATAATCTAAATTACTACAAGTTCCTTGCATAAAAAGAAAGAAAAAAAAATCTCAATTTCTAAACAATATTAATTTGCACATCATGTCCTTCTAACAATCTTTTATTAACAAAAAATTGATTTTATGTGGAAAGATTGTTCCAAACAAAGCCAATAATTAACTTTTATTTTCTAAGATTAATTGAAAACAAATCAAGAGTAACAAACTAGAAAAGTTCAAAGGGAAACACAATAAAAAAAAAACATTATTTTGGCATTCTAACAATAAAATTGTGCATTCAATCTTTTGTAACTTGAAGTTGCGTCTGTCTCCATCAAAATTATGGGCAAAGTGCCTATTTTTTGAATTCGAGGGAGCGAAGTGAAAGTGCAATCTAAAGAATAGTCATCTTTCACTTCTTTTCTTATTTTCTTCACACTCTGCAATCCAAACAATAGTCATCTTGCCTGGCTCACAATAAGCGAAAGATGTTTTCTAATCTGTTAGATGGAAATTTTGTACAATGACTACATTAACCTTACAAACGTTTATATGCAAACAAACACCCCTCTAGGTACGTGACAGAACTAATGCTGCTGATTCTATTTTAGTATTTGTTGGGAGGAACTTGGCACTTTTGTGCCGTGGGAATTGGGGAAAAGGATAAACAAAAATTACTTATAACATCTTTGCAGAAAAGAAAAACAACCATATATTTTTTTGAACAAATTGAATTCGCAATCATGACCTTCTATTAATTTTTTGAACATATGCAAGACTTATACTTAACTCCTTTATTTTCCAAGGTTAATTGAAATCAAATCTAGAGCAAAATACTAGAAGACTTTAAAGGAAAAAACAATTTAAACACTCTTTATGGGGCATTCTTAGGGTATAATTGTTAGTGCAACCCTTTTCAATTGAAAGTTGACTTTGTGTCCATTAAAATTATGGGCAAAGTGCCTGTTCTTTGAATTTAAGGGGGCAAAGTGAAAGTGTTTCACACTTTCAGGGGTTTTTGGTGTAGTTAGCCCCAAAGAAGAAGAAGAAGAAAAAAAGTGAATTGAAAAGGTGGTGCAAAAAGCGGGCCATGCAAGACCCGTCTCTATTTCCTTTTTGTTGGGTTCGTACTTTTGGCACAGTGGAGATGACCATTTACGTAGGCCCAATCCGTTAATTGTCGAGACTAATCATACCAAGTGGGCTCCGCCCCACATGCCAAAACATGACACTGCAAGGACCAATCAATCCTGGTTGGACTTCCCCATTGTGCCATGCAAAGAATGATGGTCTTCTCGATTCTAGTTTCTGATCATTTCTTTCTTTTCGTTCGTCTCGATAAAAGCCGATTTCTTCTAATAATTACTACATTATGTGGCCAAAACTGGGAAGTAAAAACTACAAAGAAAATTTTCTTGAGATCAGCCATGCTTGTCAAAAGTGAAGCAATATTAACACAAAGTTAGCTTTAAAATTAATAAATGATTAATCTGTTCCTCTTATTTTATAATTGCTTATGTAAACCACTGGATTGACCCAATATCTAGAGAAAAAGTTTTTCAAGTTCTCCTCGCTAATAGGTTCAAAATTGTCTTCAGAATTCATCATCCAACTATTAGGTTTAAAGTTCAAATCGAATATACGCTGACAGGTATAAATCCATGCCACATTATCTTAATTTAAATTTAAACGCCAAATCAAATTTTACTTTGTAGCAATACTCTAGATGGTTCATATATTTCTTCAAGGGTTGGGTCGGAAATTAAGGGATCAAAATAATTAAATCAAGTTATTAATCCATTTCCCATGTGGGATAGGGGCATTATAAGAGAATTATGCAACTAATCCTACATTGCAGAATCCTGCCACTTTACTGCGGCCATTACTTTGCCTACACTAAAGGCTGGAAAGGCTATAAAGGTAGAATTAAAACTTCCTAATTTTAAGTAAACTAATACCATAATCCATTCTATATGCAATCTAAGGCTCATATCGAATCAACATCTCGAGATGGGACGATATAAACATACATGAAAAGATATCAATAAAGTTGTCAATTTTTTCCTTCTTTTTTTTTTGGTTACAAGCTGACGAAATTGTGAAGAACACATATATTTTTTCACATTACGTAGTAATTAATTTCATGTAGACATCTAACAAAGAGAGTTTCCAAGTTTTGCTTTTAAATTGTCAATCCCCTTAAGTCTTAATAGTAGTGTTACAATGGAGTAGCTCGTGAACTAGCTAAATGCGCTGCAAGCTTTGATGGTTATGTAAAATGGTAGTGCAAAGCCCACAAGTTCTTGGTTATCTTAAAATTTTTATGCTCCTTCTATCCTAAAAAGGAAAGGCAATAATTGCAAAAATTTCATACTTGGTTATCAACTTTTGACATTGAAACAGGAACTACTACTGTTTAAACGTCTGGTGGATATGATGAAGAACACAGTGAAAGTAATGTAGAAGGATAAAAAGATACCTCCCACCACGGGAGAAGAAAAGGTTCAGTATGCAAACAGTAATAGTAGCACCCATGTATCATGCACATGCACGCATGCAACTGACCTTGTTCCTTGAGCCTAGGAGGGACCCATCTATTGGCATCTAAAGGATGTATTCCATCTCCTACCCTCAGTCGCCCTTTAGATGAGGCCATAAATAAGTAAAATAACTGCAGTGAGTAGTGTTGTTAATCTTTCCGTCATCAATTGATTGGATGGATGTTTCGTACGGATCTCTCTTAGACTGTTTTCGAATCACTCTTTCAGGTTACTCCCGTATTTGTTCTAATTGAGTGCGTGTGTGAGTTTCTTTCAGTTCCTAGAAAAATAAGTAGTGCTGTAAATGAACCACTGATCTCGGCTGGAGTTTAAATTTCATTTGTAGTAAAAAAAATTCAAAGATTGTATCAAAATACTTCCTTGATCTAGTAAGATTTGTGTCCCAAATATAGTCTGTTTAGACCCCCCTCCCCTGTAATTTAGGATAGATGGATTAGACAATAGTTATTGTTTTCAGAAAAAAAAAAAAAGAGTAATACTGTAAATTGGTGGGATTCAACGAGTTCCAAACTCGACTCTCATAAAGGAAATAGAATTTTCAAGCTTCGAACTTTAGGCTTTAGACTTACATTAGGCTTGCGTTTTGAGGTGAGCGAGCCGAGCTTGGGCCCACTTGGCCCGTTCTTGTTCCATTAATAGATCTAGCGGTGAGTGACACACGTATTAGTCCATCTCAATTTGGTCCGTTGAGAATCCTTCATTTCGTTCCAAATGAATTTGAAGTCAATGGCTAGAATTGCCTTCTGTGTAAGTGTGACCCGCACCCTTTGAGTTAGAGCCCCCGGATTTTGTCATTTAATTAATTGCGGACGTACATTATGGAAAGCCAACGCATTAATTCATATAGATATTCTTTCGTCTCGGCAGTGTCCTTGTTAAGTCTTATAAAACAATTCCTCCTAACTCCTAAGACGACTCTTTACAGTGGACATAAATCTTAAAAGATTTTATGTACCTTTCGTAATCTAATCAGAGTATATCATCAAAATATATCACTGTGGGAGTTGATATGAAGATTGTGTTATATTTTGTCCTTCAAATCCTTTAATCTATGCATCTACATCACTGAATTTTTGTGGCCCTCTTGAGCAATGCGTTATATATAGGTCATTTTCGTGTTCAATATGGATTTAGGTAATTAATGGACTATAGTTCTCAATGAGTGGAGTTGTGATGTGACAAGAATTTGTCTTGTTTCTTTGCATGCTGCAAAATATACACGTTGCTGAAAGGCCAAAATATGTCGCAGGAAAAAGTTGAATTTGAATCATCAGAAATGAGATGAATTGGCACCCTGTATCTGTTTTAATACACAGACAGAAGCCCATGCAGAATGCAGTGCTTAATTTTGCAAACAGTACTAATCTGTCTCCCTTTAAGTGTATCTGTGAAAAAAGTACCAATTACTGTTTCCCGATTCCACCAGGGGCAGCATGCATGCACTTAATGGTACTGCTTGTTTGTTGCTACTCCTTCAAACTCGCTACAGCAAAGCTCTAGCATATGTGTGTGTGTGTATATATATATATATATATATATATGTATGTATGTATGTATGTGTGTGTATATATACACATATACACACACACAACACACACAAAGGAAAGGCCACCACTCCACACACCTGATCCTGAATAGCAATTCCACTGCTGTAGTTCTTATGGTTACTTCTCCTGATCTGTGCTTTGCTTCTTCAAGTAAGCTTGACCCTACTTTAATCATTGCTTAACTTACTTAAAAATTTGGTTTGATTAGCACTATTTTCATCTTTTTGGAAATAATTAGCACATGTGAAATTGTTGCATTCTGAATAGACTTGATTGGATAGCAAAAGTTCTTTTGCTACATTTTTGCTATCCGGACTACTTTCTTGTGTTTTTTTTTTTTTCATTTTCTTACGGAAGTTTAAAAATCTGTACAGGAAAGAACAATTTTGATTGAATACTATTGATATACATATGTGGTTCACCTGAGGGCCCAAGGGTGACAGATTCTGATACTTGGACAAAGAACTCACAAGCCAAAAGCCCCTGCAGGCCAAAAGGGTTCAGAAGACTAGGACAGCAAAGTAAACAGAAAACTTCTTCCAAATCTGGATCCTCAAAAATATCAACTTCATCCGTCCGAAGACGAAGACGATGATGAGAACAATAAAAATGAAGATAAAGGATATCAGTACAGTCATTTCTACAATCAGCATTTTCATCAGCCAGATAAAAGCGTTGGAAAATCATCAATAGATATCCACCAAGAAAAATGGCCAGACCTGATTTCATCTGGCCAAACATTGGATCCAAATCACCAACACATCAAATCTGCAAAGTTTAAAGGGAGAATGCAAGACGTTTCCAATCAAGGGTCAACAAGATTGAAGCCTAAAAGAGCAAAAGGAAATAGTATAGAGATCCCTGGTGGGCGCATTTTTCGATCCACAGGAAGAAAGGACCGGCACAGCAAGGTCGGTACTGCTAGAGGTCCGAGGGACAGACGAGTTAGACTATCACCAAACACTGCTATCGAGTTCTATGACGTGCAAGACCGGCTTGGCTATGACCGTCCCAGTAAAGCCATTGATTGGCTAATGAAGGAGGCAAAAGCTGCTATTGATGCTCTTGAGCATGATTCTAGCTATGCTACCACAACCAATCTTGATGGTTGCAGCATTTTGATGCAACCAAGAAATCCTCTACCAGAAAAAGGCCTTGATGTTCAAGAAGAGAGCAGAATTAACTGCTCAGAATCTGCATGTAGAATTGACGGCCAAGAGTATATGAATAACGATGATACCTCCATCAACAATTTCAGTTTCTTTTCCATGGAAAATGGTGTCATTCCAACCACATCCTCACTTGGCTTCTATAGCTACCCACATGGTGGTGATCTTAGTACTTCAAGAAACAATAAAAGTCAAACACAAGGGCTTTCTCCGTCTTTCCACACTGTCCAAGATTTCTCTTTTCTTTTTTCTGGTGGTCAACAGGGTCTAATTCCGCCACCCTCCTCCTCATCCCACTGTCAAGGTGAAATCAATTCAGAAACGGCTAGATGTCAAAGAATTTTGGCTTGGAATTCTAATTCTAGCAATGCAAAAGGATCTCAGGAGACTCTAGTCAACTCTGAGCTGCCACTACATTTTCCATCACCTTTTGACCAGAATCAGTTGCTTTTTCACAGGGAACCCCTTCAGTCCAGCTTCTCTCCAATCCGTGGTCCAACATTGGATAGCCAATTTCCAAATTTATGTTTTTCAAGCGCTAGATTTTCCAGTGATGGTGGGTTATCAGAACTTTCTGCTGCAGCCAGAATTCCAGGCCCTGAGAAGCAAAAGCCAGTTTCTAGCAAGCCATCTTCACCTACAAATCTTCTGCATTATCAAGACTAATCATCTTCTAGGTTTCATCTTTTTTGTGCTTTGTAGGTGTATGTTTTATTATGTTACTATAATTTCTTTAATGTTATTGTAGCTGATTTGCTAATGTGCCTTTGTTAAATTTGGGTGTTGATAGCAATTGTTATGAAGAGGTGTAGCTATCAGCTGAAAGGTCAGTGGTTGGCATCTGTTGCTTTCACTTCAATAGTTTCAAGTTTGGTAATACACCAACATGCACTTTCAAAATTGTTGCCCATTTTCAGAAAGTACGCAAATTTGGCATTCACTATGCATGATTGTCTTGGCTACATCACTTTTCTTTCTTGGATACGAACATCTCCTAGCTGTCAGTTTTAATAGCATGGCAAGTGAATTAAAGAAGGCTCTCAGCTGATGATCTTCACTTTTGCTCTAGCATTCAAAATTTCAACTGCCCCTCTTGAGAAGAGAAATGTTTAATGGGCGGTGCAAATGTTACCACTCCTATTCATCTAGTGGTATTGACCAGTGATATGGTAATATATTCTACTGTAACTTTGAGCGGAGCCAATTTCTGATCCCATTTGAAATTTTGGACTGCTTTCTTGAATGCCGTCAAGTAGCAGGAATTCCTTTTCTGAAGTATCTTAACAACAACAATAATAAGGATCCCATCACCTTTAACCTAAATGACATCGATGACATTCTAGTTGTAGCACACAGGGTGTTCACAGTTACCTGATTTTCATTGTGATCGCAAGCGAAGCAGTAATTGATAATTGGTGAATTCTGTCCAACCACTCCATATCACTGTATTTAATACAGCGCAAGAAAAACAAGTACTTCCATCTATTTCTCATTGATAATCCTCAACTATAGACGGTAGGAGCCTCTTTTAAGTTAAAGTCCTACCATAGAGCATCCCAAGTGAGAAAATTGATGCATGTTGACATGAGAAGGAATAAAGAATCAGACATTTATGAGAATGGCTTCTGGTTCTAGTTTACCAAACACAAATTAAAATAGACACATCAAATTTTTTTTTTTTAAATTTATTTTAGCAGAAGAGGAGTGAAATTTAAGAAACTACAAAGAGGAATAGGAATGTGATAAAACAGACACATTTGTGTTTTCAAGAAAGATTTACTTATTTGCTTAGTTCTACTCTAGACTTATGTTTGTAGTGTAAAAACCGGTCCATATAGATAATGATCTGATTTGGGGGCCGAAGTGCACGAGAAGAAGAAAAAGTTTAATCCAAATTATTGAACATTTGATTCTTCATGCCACTTCAGTCCATCATATTTGAAAAACAATTATTAAATTCATCTATTAATTAACTTTTAGACGGGTTAAATTCACGCCCGCTTATCTTACATTGATGCATTTGATGGATTATCAACGTGTACTACCTGCATTATAATTTATATAATATCTGGATTTAGAATGTCGAGGTGTAGATAATTTTTATCCATGTGACACCTTTGGAGATGAAAAGAAGTTTATTGCATAAAAACAATTAATTTCCTATTCGGTCTTCTCATATGGTTGGGCAGCACTGTGGCATATGGGGGCATTGAACACAAAAGATCCAAGCAGAGCATGTTCATAGGAACTAACTTTTTGGATGAGCTGGGAAATCTTCTTGAATTCTTTGAAGTTTCCTCCGACTAATTTAGTGCAAAAAGAATTGATTTTAGATAATGCCAATTGTTTGGAATTTAATTAGTTCTAGCCCTGCAGTCTGATGCAACTATTGGTAACCATGTGAGAGATGGAATGTGGGCAAGATTATGAGCAGCAAGCGGACTAAGGAGCAAGCAATTATTGACTCCATTTAAGCAAATGTCAGAAGCTGTGAATGGTACTTAGTAATAAACAATAGGGCAAACCTTTCAAATTCGCAAGAAAAGAGACTCTTGATAAAAGTTCTTGCAACATTAAATATTTTACTAGCCATGATTTTCCCTTTACAGATGCTGCAGGCGCCCATTTAAGTAAAGGAAAGGTCAATGTACGCACAAGTATTCATGTTTTGGCTTCTTGATACCTGCAGTGTTAGCTTGTTTCCTTAAAATGCTCCCAACATTCTTTATTCTGAATTCTTTCTTTTTACAAGTCACGTGCTTTCTAGTTTTCCTTTTACAGCTTGTGTATGCCAATTTTTTTCTTCTTCCTAATAACGAAAAGATGAAATGGCTGCTTCATTCTCAAGTCTTAACCATACATTTGATGGGAGACTTTCATTGCATTCCGTGCTGCTGAGGATGAAATTAGGTGACTGCAACCTACCACTATTGTTTGTGAACCCGAATATGTGGACATGGTCATATTATCATATCAATGAAATATTAGGAAAACTAGATAGTACATTAATTGAGACATTGAATAGAATTAACTCATTATTAAGTACTTGTAGAGCTAACTCTATGAGTGTGCGTGTGTGTGTGTTTGTGAGAGAGAGAGAGAGATAGAGAGAGAGAGAGAGAGAGAGAGAGAGAGAGAGAGAGGGAGAAATCTGTACATACAGTTGGCATGGCAGCTTGACAATGTTCTTAGAGTTATACGAATTGAGCAAAGACTAAAGGAGGACATAGGGATACAAAAACAGCGAGTTACCTTTTATTCTGAAAACTTTGCAGACTAATGCATGCTTCACTTAAGTTGCTTTTACAGCTAAAGAGAATCATTAAAAAGTTGTAGCTGCAGCTCATAAAAACCACCCTTTTTTCTCTTCTGTTTTGGTGGTGCTTTGGGAACAGAACTGAAGAAAAAGCAGAAACATATCGTTACATAATTAGCGCTCTTGAACTAGTGACATGTTACAGTTCTGCAACTAGCGATATGATACAGTTCTGAGATCCTATGTCCCTGTGCAGCAATTTAATTCTGAGATACGGGTGAGCCTGGAGTCGATATCTTTGACCACAGGCTGGAAGAAACTAGCGTTAGTGTATCAGGTTAAGGAGGTTTTCTGTAGCATCTTCACAAATGTAAGTCTATTGGCAATGAGCGTAGGAACGAGGCACTACTACTATTGACATTGTGAGTGCTAATGTAAGCTTCGACAGCACACAAAAAAGCTCAATATTACAAATAGAATCAGATAAAGAATGTACAAGTGTTTGATCACAGCACATACCTGCCTCCATTTCATTTTTCAAACAAGATGAAAAGAACTTCATCTATGTACAAGTAAAATTCATGATAATTTAGTTCTCCAAATATACACATGCTTGCATGAAAAAAAAAATTAGAAAGGCAAACAAGAAAGAATGATCACCAGGTCCATCTCAATCCTCTCACAACTCAAATGCACGCAACCACGAAACCAGCAGATGACCTAGCCTAGCCTCCTCATCGTTTCTTTACATCACTAAATGAATCGCTTTGCATATTTAAACTTCCATTCAATGCACACCATCATTTTTCCTAAGATGTACTGCCTGCTTCTTCAGCTTTGCTGGTCCCTTTTGGAGTAACTATCTTGTCAGCCGCTTCGAAAGACAACTTTCGGGCTTTTACAGCACCCTTCCCGTTAGGCGAAATCGTTTTAACTGTAACAGGCGTTTTTGTAGTTGGTGTGTTGATGTTTTTCCCTGTCTTGCTGGTTTTCTTACCATTTGATTTCTTTGGACTTGACTGAACTGCGACACGGCATTCCCATGGCCTAGCAGCTATCCAGCGATCCATCCAGCTCCAGCCCCAGTTGGTTTTGCCAAGCTCAGTGCTCCCCCATCCAAAATTTGGGTTAGTATTGGCCCTCCACTGCACATTATGAGCTACTCATCGTAAGTTTTGGCTTCGTTATTGCAACTAAAGTTGCAACACTTGATTTTGTAGCCGTGGCTTACCTGATGAGAGAAAGCGTATGCCATAGCTCGCTCCCGCTTGCCTGCAGCTTCTTCTCTCTGATGTATCCTTGCCAGGACTTCTTCCATTGTTTCAGAGCCACCATTCCACTCCACCTGTCATGCATTTACTTTGTTAGAGAGAGCAAGAGAGAGAGAATCTGAGACAGATCACATTCCAGCTTTTTTCAGAAAGGCATATTTATAGGATAGAATCACCTGAAGTTGATGTTAGTATGCCAAAAATGGCTATGAATACTTAAAACGCATAAGAGGCAATCAGTAGGATAATGTATAATCAATTGATTTACGTCAGCTTTGGTCCTGCATCACTTAAATATAGTTCCGGCACTTAGGAAACTCTCAATTTTTTGAACTTGCTGGAATTTTGTTGATACCAGAAAACTACAAGTTAAGAATCCTAAACTATAACACCACACATGCACTTTTTCCTTATTTCTACGTGATAAATCATAATTTTTCTGCAAGATTTGAGGCACTGCAAGATAAAATAGTGGGAAGAATGACAAAATCCAAAAGCATCAAAGAACCACCTCCTCATATGACTGAAGCAAAATAAAATAGATACCATAATCCTGATGAGATTAATTAATCTATTTTCTGATTATTAGTACTACTATTTATGATCTATTATATCCATTCAAGTCCCATCCCTTGTTCGTGAGATACAACTATTAATACTCGTAAGCCACCATATAGAGCTCTGCCTAAGACACTGAAAACTCTCTCAAGTCTTATCACACTAAGAAATCACTGAAAACAATAGACAATAGTTACTTAGGCCCCATTTGATAAAACCGAAGTCCAAATTCTGAATTCTGAAATCTAAAATTGAGGGCTGGAAGTATTAAGTTGCTGAATTGATAAAGTTATATCTGTTTGATGACTAACTGAATTTAAGCAGTGAATTGAAATATCACACAATATGATAATCTTATCTTTAAAAAAGAATTTTTATTTCTGTATTGGGAGAGAAGGGTGTATGTAAGAGAATATAATGAAATGATTAAGAGGTGGTGTTTAAGCGTGTGTATTTTTGTGTGAGAGTGTGTGTGTTAAGAGAAAGATAAAAAATATCTACTGTGTGTGGGAGCAGTGTGTTTGTGCGTGTTAGAGGGACAATATGTGTTGTGTCTGAAATGAATAACATGTGTGGTCAGTTCAACAAATTCAGTAAAAACATTTTCACTTAAAATTTTGAATACAAATTAAGCAATGCTTAATGTTTTAAGTGGTAAGGCTTTTTGTTATCAAACATGCTGAACTCAACAAGTTCTAAATAAATTAATTTTCAGCATTAAATAGAGTTATCAAATAGGCCCAGAGTGGTTATTCCTTACAGCGGAGGATATAGAAACAAACAAAACGAAGGATAGACAATCTTACCTCTACGTCATGAAGCTTTGCCTCAAGCTTTAATTGATTCTCCAACTTCTTCTGCCTGAGGCGACCTTCAGTCACCATACAAATTCGGCGCGCTCTAATATATGCCTGCATTTT